ACATCTGCTTTAAGCACTTGCTATGTCCCAAAGAACAATGCCCTTAAGGATAAAGGTGCAACTTCCCCCATATTAGCATTTCCTTAAGGATAAGCTTCTCTCCCTAGGTTAGGAACTGATTGCTGCACCCATCCTGTGACCAGCCAGCTCAAGACAACAGACCCGCTCCCTGCTGTGTCCACCCCCACCCACCCCCCAGACAGCAGACCTACTACCTGCTGTGTCCATCAATCGCTGTGCTGACAGAGCAGTCTTGTGACTATCGTAAAAGGGACATTTCAATCACATGTGAAACATCCTCTTTGAGGGTATATGACTACTCTGTACACCCCTACTTCTTTGGTGCCCCTCCTTCCTTGGGGAAGGAAGGCCCTGGGCTATATGGTCCTCACATTTGGCTCAGAATACACTCACCCCAATTTTCATTTATAGATAGGTTGTGGATTATTTTCATTGACAGTACAAAAGTCACTGGAGGACAAATTGGTGAAATTCAAATAGGGTCTACAGTTTAGTTAGTAATATTGTTCCAACCTTAGGATAAGCAAAGCAAGTACAGGAAGCAGTTCTTGATCTGAGGACGTTTGCTGAGAGCAAGAAACTGGGCTGTGTATTTGATTAGGGGCATAAAATGAGTTGGGGGTCTGGGGGAGAAGGTAACACAAAGCAAAGCTTACGGCCTGTTCAGAATGAGACATTTCAAGGAGTCCCTTTCCATATAGACTTGGGACCCTCCCATCCTGCCAAAGGTAGAATCCTAGAGTAAAGACAAACTAAAGTAAACTTGCCACAATCTCACCCTCCAAACACTCCACACCTTCCTGCGGGGAGTGCTGTCTTGGAGCTGAACAAAATGGGGTTGGGGGTGGCGCATAGGGCAAGACGAAAGAAAAAAATCTTTAAAAGGTTGTAAACTTGGGCACACAAGTCCTAAAAATCTGATCCAAGAAACCTCAAGCAATTATTTTGGTTTAAGGGGGTTCTAGACAAGTTTTACTCTCAGGCCTTAGCAGGAGCAAACGCAAATTCTCTTTTGAAGAATACAGCTTCATGCCAACGCTTCGGAAATCCCCACAAATAATTTTTTAAAGGCAATGAGAAGCTATGCAAACATAACAAAGGACAAAAGAAAATAAAGAAACATGAAAAACACCATCAAAAACAATAGCAGAGAGAGATCCACAAAGTCTTCACATGCTGGAATTATCAGAGACAAATGACAAATGAACATGCTCAAAGGAATAAAGTGGAGAGCTACAGTATGAAGAGAGAGATAAGAAGATATGAGTCACAAATTTATACTAGTACATCTGAAAATTTACACAAAATGGACAAACTTTTGGGAAAACGTAACTTACCAAAATTGACTTAAGGAAAAATACACAACCTGGACAGATTATAACCACTAAAGAAATTGAATCCATAGTCAGAAATACTATGCAAAACAAAAAACAAAATACTCTCTCTTTCCCTCTCTTTTCAGTTCCAGATGGCTTCCCTGGTCAGTTCAACCACCATTCTAAGAAATACTCCAATCTTATACAAACACTTCCAGAGCACTGAAAGAGGGAAAAAACGACAGAAGCAATACCCCCTGACTCATAGTATAAAGCCAACATAACCTTGATAGCAAATCTCATGAGGACAGTACAAAAAAGAAAATTTATGAGCTAATTTCTCCCATAAATATAAATGAAAAAAACTCTATATAAATTAATAAACAAAATTCAAAAACAAGGATACTTCATCATCACCAATCTGGGTTTATCCTAGAAATGCAAGGTTGCTTTAATTGTAAAATATAGTAATAATGACATGAAGAGATGGAAATAAGACCATAAATATGCACTCGCCTGTATGTGCAGAAAGAAACACTTGAAGGATGAGCAAAAAACAAATAAAAGTGGTTACCAATAGTGTTAAGGGAGTTGGGGGAAAGGGGAAAAGGTGAAAAAGAAGCTTTTGAGACATACAAACTTATTACTGATTTAAAAATTTAATCTAAAAAGTAAGTCAATTAATGTAATTCATCACATTAACATAGTAAAAGAGTAAAATCACATGAATATCCCAATAGATACAAGAAAAGCACCCAATAAAATTCAGTATTCATTCAATATTATGAAAAACTCTTAAACTAGGACTAGGAGGAAACTTTCTTAATCTGATAAAATACATCTGTGAAAAAAAAACAACTATCACACTTATTTGTGAAATGTTGTAAATTATCCCTCAATTAGGAACAAGGCCAGAATACCCACTATCACTTCTATTCAACATTATAGTAGAGGTCCTATCCAAAGCAATAAGGTAAGAAAAAACAAACAACAGGTATAAGGATTGGGAAGAAACAAAAACTGTCCCTCTTTGCAGATAATATGATCATGTATGTAGAATGATTCTACAGATTAAGTATTAGAATACATAAGAGAATTCAGCAGATTGCTTAATACAAAAATCAATAAATATAAGTTAATCATATTCCTATATAACAACAACTAGACAACAAAAATTAAAAACATGTTTTACAATACTATAAAACTGTAAATATAATAAATTTCAGGAACAAATTTCACAACGAAGGACAAGATCTTACAGAAAAAAATGATGAAACTTAACTGTGAGGCAATAAAAAAGACGTAAAACAATGGATCAGAAGATTTCATGTTGTAATGGTATTAATGCTCTGTATCCTGGCTTATAAATTCAGTATAATACAAAAAGAGCCCTGCAGGCATTTTTTAAAAATAGAACTTTACAGTATGACTCTAAGAAATCTAAAAGGCCAAGACTGGGTGAGATACTTTCCCAGAAGAATGAAGTAGAAGGACTTGCTCTACCAGGTATTAAGAAATGTTACAAAGCTATAATGACTGAAAAACATACTGTTCACTGAGGGGTACACCAACAGATCAATGGTACAGAATAGAAGAGCCAAGAAACACATTCACACACACTCGTACTTAACACGTGACAGGTGTCATAGCAGATCAGTGCAGAAAGGATAAGCTTTTCAATAAACGCTGCTACAGCAATTGGTATCTGCATGGGGGAAAAAATTAAATTAAGCCCCTATCTCCACTACACAAAAATCAATACTAAGTGGAACAAGACACAAAAAGCACTAACAATAAAGGAAATTATTGATAAATTCTATGACATTAAAATTAAGAACTTCTATTCAAGGCACAATTTTTTAAAAAGATGAGTAGAAGGAGATATTTGGAACCCATATAAACAACAAAGAAGTCAGAAATAAATGCCAAAAATTAATGAGAAGAAGATAGATAAGCCAATAGAAAAATGAGCAAAAGACCTGAATGGGCACTTCACAAAAGAAGAAATACAAAAGATGCTCAAAGTTGTCAGTAACCCGAGGAATGGAAATTTAAACCACAGGAAAATACCATTATATAGACACAAGATTGACAAAAATTAAAAATTCTGTAATGGCAAGCATGAGTGAAGATACAGAGCAACAGGAACTCGCACACACTCTCTATGGCAATGCAAACTGGTACAACCACTTTGGAAAATAGTTGGCAACATCTAGTACTATTGAAGATAAGCATAGTCTAGGATCCAACAATTGCGCTCCTAGGTTTATATTCCATTTAAATGCATGTAGACATGCAGCAGGAGACATCAACAAGAATGTTTATACCAACATTGTTTATAATAGCCAGAAACTCCAGAATCTGAAAACCAAATGTTACCACTCACAACAGGTAACTTGTGGCATATTCATAAAATGGAATTCTATACAATGATAATGAACAAACCACAGCCACCCACCGGAGGAAACTAACACAATGCTGAAAAAAATGAAGACCCAAGAGAACGCACGATAACATGTGATACAATTGTGTCAAGTTCAAGTTAGTTTAGGAATGCATACAGACGCGGTAAAAGTAGAAAGACAGGCAAGGACATCATCACCACAAAAGTCGGAATCATAGTTACCTACGGGGAAAGGAGATGGTTCTAACTGGAAAAGGGCCCCGGGCTTCCACATCGCTACTAATGTTCTATTTCTTAATCTGGGTGGACGTTACTTCAGTCTTTGCTTTATAATTATTTATAATAAGTGTACGTTTTTATACACTTTGAGTGTGTATGTTACAATAAAAAAGTGAAATCTTAACACGGGGGATGTTCATTGTCAAAGCATTTGTTATCCCAGTGCCAGCGACTGCAAGGTTGCTTAGGGAAACAAGTCATCGTGACGAGACGACATTCACTAACGAACTGATCACTTCATGAACTCACCAGTCCACTCAAACTTCCCTCCCGGGTTAACTCCAGCAGGTTCTCTCAGTGATTGTAAAGACCCCCAACATAAAGAAAAAGCAAATCACTTGCAAATCCATTCATTCAACAAATATTTATTAACGTCTACTGCTTTCCAAACACTGTCCTAGGGGACCAGCAGGGTTCAAGATCGAAAAGACGGAGGACGTGGGAGCCCTACTCCCACCCCAATTTTGCCTCTACCCTCTCATCCTCCCTTCCAAGCAAGTAGCAGACACGAAGAACCAACACGGAACTCAGGACGCACCGAAGCTACCACCAAAACCACAACCTCGGGGGTCTTTTCAGGACAGAGGCCCCGCCGGCTTGGGTTCATCCGGCCACCCGTGGTGTCCCGCCTGCAAGGAGGCAGAGGCGGCCTGGTCAAGGGCCCCAGCCCAGGGCGCTCGTCTCAACAGGGGTGGCGCGGGGGACCGGCTCAGGCGGTCAGAACTCCCATGGGATGCTTCACCCGGGATCCCGAGGCCAGAGGCTTGCAATTTTCCAGAAAGTGCACACTACACTTTGTGTACACACATTTTTCTGGGGTGAGTCCAAAACTTTCCTACGGTTCTCAAAGGAGTTCAATGAAAAGGGGCGAGTCAGCACTGCTCCCAAAGAGCGAACGCGCCAGACCCTCAGGGACACGGTGACGGCGACCCTGGCCGCGAGCAGAGCACCTGCGCTTGGGACGCCCGCCCGATACTTACTCTTAGTTCCTCGAAGGCTTCGTCGAGGGTGGAGAGCTGGTGGCCCCGGTGCGCCCCGACCACCGGGCACAGCACACAGATGAGCCGCTTGTCCTCCTGGCAGTAGGTGCTCAGGTCCAGCCCGTGGTCCGGACACTTCCTCTTGGCCACCCGCTCCGCTTCCATTTCTACTTCCGGGTCAAACTCGCTCTCCGCCTCAGTCTCGCCCTCGGCCTCGGACTCCCCCTCCTCGCGGTTGTCCTCCTCGGCGCCGCTCTCTTGCTCGTCCTCCATCTCCTCCTCGCTGTCCTCCTCACTCTCGTCGTCGTCGTCGCTCTCCTCCCCCGTCTCGCTGTCCTCCCCCGTCTCGCTCTCCTCCTCGGACTCGCTGCCCTCCTCGGACTCGCTCTCTGCCCCCGCCTCGCGCTCCCCCGTGGCCTCCGCGTGCTCCGCGCCCTGCGCCCCCGAGGTCCGGGCCCGGGCGGCGCCGTGGACGTAGGCGGCCAGGCGGTGGCCGGGGAACTGGCGCGCGTGGGCCTCGGCGTGGCGTCGGCAGTAGCAGAAGCCGCATTCCCGGCACAGCTCGGCGGCCCCCGGCGCCTCGTCGGGCTCGCACTCGTCGCACGTGCCGTCGTGCGGCAGCTGCTCGCAGGCCGCGCGCCCTCCGGAGGCCATGTGGGTGCAGGGACGCGGCCGGCCTCGGGCCCGCGGGCTCGGCGCCTGGCCCGCGCGCGGCCTCCTCACGGCCTCTTCCCCAGCCGCCGCCCGTCCGGGCAGTGGCCGCGCCGGTCTCGCCGCGGGCCCGGCGCCGCGCCGCTGCCGCCCGCTCCCGACAGCCCCGCCCGGCCGAGCAGCGAAGCGCCTTCCCGCCGGCTCGGCAGCTGGGCGCCCGCCGCGCTTCCGGTGGTGGCCCGGCACTTCCGGCGCGGCGGCCCGCGCCCCCGTCGGCCCCCGCGCCGCGCCGCCTGCTCCCCGGGCGAGCGCGCGGCCCTGACTGCGCGCCGCCCCGGTTCCACCGTCCTCTTCCCTGGCAGGCGGCCACCTCTCACTTCCTGAGTCACTTAAAGTGGCGGTGGCCCTTTCCTGCGTTCCCCGCGGGGGCTGGGTGGCCCCGGAGGGAGGGGGAAGGCGGAGGAGGGCTCCCGCTCGCTCGCAGGCGGGAATGGGGCCCCGCCCCCCCGACACCCCCCTCGGGTGTCAGCCTGACGCTTCAAGGCCGCCAGGCAGGTGGACATGTGCATTGCAGTCCCTCTCCTTGCGCTGTGTCGCCGCCCGCCTGTCCCCGTCCCCGCTGCTGCGTGGAGCCGGTGTGGGGTGCTGTCTACCAGGCTGACCCTGGCGGCTGGGGACTCGCAGAGGCCCCGGGAAGGGTCGTGTTTGTTCTCCCGGGCTCAGGGAATCTCCGACTCAGGTTGAGCAAACAGGCGCTTTTGATCCAAAGCAATGCTCTGCTTTGTCTATTTGCAAAGGCTGTTTGCGGTCCTGCCTCCCAGGGGCTCGGAAACTCCGGGGTGGCAACCTCTGTGCCTTTTCCTGAGAGCTTGCCTGGGGTTCGGCTGAGATGTCGGGTGAAGTAGGTGGGAGAGTCGGTGTTTGTCGAGTGAGTTCCAGTATGCAGTCATTTTCCTTAGTAAGGGGACCGCCCAGATTTGGGTTCCAAGAGAAAGGCGGGGGAGTGTTATTTATTAACCAATTACTAAAGTGCCAAGAACTGCGGTAGACCTTTTTTGTGGCTTTTTAAAAATTTTTTTAATTTTTTTTTTTTAGAAAGGTTAGCCCTGAGCTAACTATTGCCAATCCTCTTTTTTCTGAGGAAGACTGTCCCTGAGCTAACATCCGTGCCCATCTTCCTCTACTTTATACGTGGGATGCCTACCACAGCATGGCTTTTGCCCAGCGGTGCCATGTCCGCACCTGAGATCCAATCTGGCCAACCCTGGGCTGCAGACAAGCAGAATGTGTGAACTTAACCTCTGTGCCACTGGGCCGGCCCCCTTTTTGTGGCTCTTTAAAAGCTGGTTTTGGAAGATCCACTGCCGGAGGGCCCCCAAATCCTGGTACTACAACTTATTGGCTTTGTGACTATGGAGAAGTTAATTGATCGTTCTGTTTTCTACTTTTTAAAAGAAGTATGTAAAGTGGAAATAACAGTAACACCTATCTCGTGGGGCTGTTTTTTGGATGAAATGTAAAGGGGCCTGCCTTGTAGAAGTAGTCACTACATTTTAACTATTATTATTGGCACAATTATGTTTGGTGCACATAATGACCCTTTGAAGGAGGTTTTAGGCACATCTTGAACGCATTGGGCATTTTTGGATGGCTGCTGGTAGTGTAGGCAATCCCCCCCCAACCCCGCCACCCCATATGGGTGACTGTCCATTCATAGAAGACCTTTTGTTTTGTATTTGAGAGAAGAAAAGGACATTTTGATCTCATCTGGGGAGAGGCTGAGGTGTGGTTGAGAAGAGAGGAGGATGAAATGGTGTCTGTTTCCCATGGATTCTCCTAGATAATGTTGAGCTAGAATTTCCAGATGATCTTCACAAAAGTGCCAGGGGATGGGATGGGGTAAAAAATTACTTAAAATAATTTTTAATGTCTCTACATATAATGTATGCTTAATCTCTGCAGCTTTTGTCAGAGATTTAGTTTTTAGAAATATTTTGCTTTTTTTTTTAAACCTCAGAACAATTTTATAGACGGGGGAAAAAATCAGGAGGTTTCTTTGTTCCAATTCCATACACATTTATATTTTTCTCCAGTTGATTTCTCTGGAAATTCTTTTTTTTTTTTTTTTTTTTTTTAAGATTGGCACCTGAGCTAACAGCTGTTGCCAATCTTCTTTTTCTTTTTCTTCTCCCCAAAGCCCCCCGGCACATACTTGTGTATTTTTAGTTGTAGGTCCTTCTGGTTGTGCTATGTGGGACGCCACCCCAGCGTGGATTGATGAGCGGTGCCATGTCCGCGCCCAGGATCAGAACCGGCGAAACCCTGGGCCACCAAAGCAGAGTGCGTAAACCCAACCACTGGGCCTGGGGCCAGCCCCTCTGGAAATTATTTCTATGTCTGCATCGGAAACAGGGATTGATGCACCATTCTGAAAAAAGTATTCAACAAAAGACAGCTCAAACATCAATGTTAGTATACCCAGTGAATAGTATTTCATGCTTGGTTATTTCCACCTCCCCAGGCTTAAAAGGAAATAAGTTAGCCTTTACAAACATGTTATCACATTTAGAAAATACTTTTTCAATGAAAACAATTTTTTAATGTCTTAAAAGAACACTTTTGTGTCCAAGGCCTTTGATGGGGAGGGACGGGTGTCTTTTTGTTGTCGTTATTGTTTGTTCGTAATTTTCCCTGACCGAAAGTTGAAATATCATACTGTGCAGTTCAGTATCTGACACTTCACAGTCTTTCTTTGAGCCCTCCATGGTGAGAGGGTCTTAGAGGCAGGAGGTGATGGAACTGTTAAAAAGGAACTTCATAGAGTTCTGGTGATGACGTATGGCAGAGGCAATGAGACGGACCTTCTGTATCCTTTGCCCAGAAATCAGAACAGTTGGATTCCCCAGGAATTGGAATCTTTAGGAGCATCCAGAGATTTAAAAAAACAAAACAACAACCTTCTTATATTAATTTGTTATTGTATAGAAAATTACCTCAAAATGTGGCAGCTTAAAACAATAAACATTCATTATCTCACAATTTCTGTGAACCCAGAATATGGGAGCGACTTAGCTCAGTGATCTGACTCAGTGTCTCTCGAGATTTCAGTGAAGATGTTGGCTGGGCCTGTAGTCACTTGAAGCGTTGACTAGAAAATGTAGGATTTGCTTCCAAATGGCTCACTCACGTGGCTGTTGGCAGGAAGCCTTTCCACTTTCTATTGGGCTGCTTGAGTGTTCTCATGACATGGCAGTTGAATTCTCCCAAATCAAGTGATCCAAGAGAGGGCAAGGTGGAAGACTCGTTGTCTTTTATGATCTAAGCTCAGACGTCACACATCATCTTTTCCTACATAGCTTATTAGTTACAGAGATCAGTCCTACTCAGTGTAGGAGGAGACTACACAAGGGCATAAATATCAAGAGGTGGGGATCCTTGGAGCCGTCTTTGAGGCTGGCTACCATATTTTACCCTTTGACCCCCAATGATTCACGTTCCTCTCAAATACGAAATATGTTCACTTCCTCCCAGGGTCCCCAAAAGGTTCAATCCATTACATCATCAGCTCAAAGTCCAGAATCTTATCATCTAAATCAGATCTAAGTGTGGATAAGGCTCTTAGGTATAGTGTCTTAAGTGCAGCTCCTGAACTAGAGTTCCTCTTCATCTGAATACCCATGTTCCCCCACACTCCCAACATACAGTAGTGGGACAGGCTGAGGATAACTGGTACAGACATTCGTGTTCCAAAAGGAGAAAAGGCAGGTGGCACAGAGGAGTCACTGGTCCATAGCAATCCTGAAATCCAGTTGGACACATGTTAAAAGTTCCTCGATTAGGGGGTCAATCCTACTTCTGCAGGAGAATGAGTCTCCATGGCTTTTGGCTTCACCTTTTGGGCTCTTAATTCCACTTTTTGAGCCATCCTTCCTTTTCCATCAAAAGCAGCCTATGTTTGGGGCTGGCCTGGTAGGGTAGTGGTTGAGTTGGTGTACTCTGCTTCAGTGGCCTGAGGTTCACAAGTTCAGATCCTGGGTGCAGACCTAGCACTGTTTGTCAAGCCATGCTGTGGCAGCATCCCACGTAAAACAGAGGAATATTGGCACACATGTTAGCTCAGGGCCAATCTTCCTCACACACACACACACACACACACAAAAATCATCCTATGTTTGCAGCTATGTAATTTGTCAGTCTGCTTCTTGCCAGTAGAATTTAGAGAGTCCACAGGCCTCTTTTCATTTTGTTCTGTCTCTATCCTGTCCTTAGTCCATGTGGGTAGTGTTTCTGCCAATGTAATTCTTTTTAAAATTTTGTGAGTCTCCTATGAATTTAATTGGGGCTCCACTCCATTGGACAAAAATCGTACCCACAAATCTCTTTTAGATAAGCCTTTCTATATTTTGAGAGTCCCTCTACTGAAACTGCTGAGGCACAACACCCATAAGCTTTTTTGAAGCCCTATTGTTTGAATGATTCTCCCAATCACTGCTGTAGATCTGTTTGAGATCTGAACAAAGGGTGTTACAGCAACATCCTAAGCTTCATCATCTGATGATGTTTTCCCTGCACTGTCCTAGAGTCTGTTTTTGACTGGAAGCCATTTCTTCATTTTATCATTATTTGCCACCTGGAGAAGATGGAGATTTTCAAATCTATCAAGTTCTGGATCCTTTTTGTTTTTTTAAGTCCTTCTTTAGATTATCTCTTTCTTCACACAGTTTGCTGTAATCAGGAAGAAGATATCAATCAGCACCTTCAACACTCTGCCTAGAAATATGCTTAGCTAGAACACCCAATTAATTAGGCACATTTTCTTCTTTCCACATTACTGCAGGTGACAGTGTTGCTAAACTTCCTGCCACTACATAGCAAGAACGCTTTTCCTCCGGTTTTTGATAACGTTTTTCTGATTTCCCCATAAGCCTTCATCTACAGGCTTCTCAAATCCATCAGGATGCTACTAACAATTTCTTCAAGACTCTTCAGGCTTTCGCTAGCACTCTCCTGTGAGTGCTTTCAGCTTCTCCCACTGCCAGTTCGAGAGCCACTCCAACAGTTTAAGTTTTTGTTATGGAA